TTATGCCAAGTGAAATAAATCAGACAGAAAAAGACAAATATGTATTAATTTTTCTTCTATGTGGAATTTAAAACTGAACTCATAAAGATAGAGCAGTTGGTGGTGGGGGGAAGGAGAATAAAGATGATCAAAGGATATTAACTTCCCAGTTATAAGACAATAAGTTCTAGAAATGCAATGTACAGCCTGGTAACTATAATTAACAATACTTACTGTATTGTATATTTGAAAGTAGCTATGAGAGCAGACCTTAAAGTTCTCAATATACAAACACACAAATCATAACTATGTGAACTGATAGATGTGTTATCTGACCTTGCTGTGGTAATCATTTAACAATAGAAACATTTATCAAATATTCAATGTTGTACACCTTAAACTTACACAATGCTTTATATATAATATGTATATCATAATATCTATGCCATATATATATATATATATATATATATATATATATATATATATATATAGCGTGTGTGTGTGTGTGTGTGTGTCAATTTTATCACCAAAAAGCTGGGGGGAAGGGGAGAATGCTGATATCTGGGTCAGATCCAGAGGTTATTATTTAACTGGTCTGGAATGGGGTCTGGGCATCCTAAGTTTTAAAAGCTCCCCAAGTGATTCTAATAAAGAGCCAGATTAAAAACTGCATGGATTTTACCTGCCTCATCTGCATTTACTAAGTTGAAAATAGAAATTTATCATCTGATTACTGTCTCAGTGTTTTGTTACCAATGTATTTAGTGTGTCTCCTTAATAGCTACTAAAATACGAACAGATTATAAAAGACTTAAAGTGAGGATATGGGACTTTCAGCACTTCAGATTCAATCTAGGGGAAAGGTCATGGGTTTGTGGTCCTTTAACGTGAGTCCCCACTGCTTAAATTAATATTAATTTTTTTCCAAGTAATACAATTTTTAATACTCGAAGAACCCTCACAAATCATAAGAAAAACAAATGCGGCAGCAGGAAAATGTGCAAAGAACATGAATAGACTATTTACCAAAAGAATACAAATGGGCCCAACATGATTTTTCAATTTCACTAGTGATCAAAGAAATACAAATTAACACTAAGATACAATCCTTCCATCAAATCAGCAACTTATAAAAAACAATAGCAAAAATGTAATGCAACAAATACTCAAGCTCCTAGATGGAATAAACTTAAAATATTCTTAAAAAGCAGTTTGACGGTACATGTCAGAGCCTTAATGTGCTCATACCCTTCTAAATAAGAGTAAAAACTAAAAACAGCCCAAAGAACCATCGTTAGGGAAGCTCTCTTAATTAGCTAATATTTTTTAGAGAGAATATTATGTTTTGGTTAAATGCTCAAAATGCAATTAAGAGGAAAGGAAAAGAGAAGTATGTATATACAATACGATAATTTTTTTTAATTTTTTGTTATATATTATGAAAAGCAACATACTCAATGTTAACAAAAGCAGGGTTTGAGTGATTTTACTCTACTTCACAATTTTCTACTTTCAAATATTTCTACAAAGGATTTACTACTTCAAACATTTCATTTCTAAATTTCCAAGAGTTAACTGATCAAGCATAAGTCTCCACCTCAGAAAAACTGTGAGGTAAGATGATACCTTATCATGATGCATTTCCGTGCATAGATGTGTATGGTGAATAAAGGGTAGTGAGATCTTGGCTTCAATGGGACTAAGTTATTCTAACCTGGCCAAAGATGAGAATTCAGGTGATCTCAGACAATTTTCCTCAATTCAGGTGATTTCAGACAGTTGTACACAAAAAAAGCAGGTCATTTTAGTCAAGACAAGGTGAAACGAACCTATGGTTTTACTCTAGGGTAAATAGTTATGGAAAAACAAGTATTGAAAAAACTTTTCCCCACTGCCATGTTCACTGATGCATATAAATTAGTCTATTCAGAGAATTTCTTGAACTGAATGAAGTCTGATATCCATTATTCATATTCACTCAAGTCAAAATTTCCTGTAAGAGTAATTTCAGATCTAGTCTCTAGTTAAAGTGACTTTCAGAGAGGAACTCACCCCTATCCCGAGAGAAAATTTCTACTCAAAAAACTGCCAGGTGATTAATGGTATAAGAAGATAATCCAATAGCCCTGGACGGTTCTGTTCAGTGGATAGAGCACTGGCCTACAGACTGAAGGGGCCTGGGTTTGATTCTGGTCAAGGGCACATGCCCGGGTTTGTGGACTCGATCCCCAGCAGGGGGTATGCAGGAGGTAGCCAGTCAATGATTCTCTCTCATCATTAAATATTTTTATCTCTTTTTCCCTCTCCCTTCCTCTCTAAAATCAATAAATATATATTTTTAAAAGGTAATCTATAAAAATAAATGAGACATTTGATAACAGCCCTAAACACTCAAGACCATCACATAGTATTTTTATATTAATATGCACTACAAAATACTCTATTTTTGCTCATTTTCAAGGCCCCCAAATGAAAGAACTGCCAAAATTGTCTTGGTATGATACCTCCAAAAGGAGTCCTAAAACAGTAATATATTTTCAAAAATTTCAAAGGGAATGATCTAATATACACGCACACTAAGCTGCCCGCTAGTTAACTATGAACTAAAAAAGTTTTCATAAACACCTGTTGCCCCGATACCAAACTCAATTAAGCATTAACATGCACTATATAAGCCTAGTCATTACTTATTTTCACTCTTATAAGAAAACACATTGTTAAATTATTTGGCGTAAGAGAACATTTAGCATAAGTCCTTCAACGTTTAAGCTGCTGCAAAACAACAGCTTCTAAATGAAGCATTTTCTGAATTATTACCCTGATAGAATATTATAGCAAGAATCTCAGTTTTTACTTTTTCTCTCTGTTTCCATTCTGGGTAAACAGCTGAATTCAAATTTCAACATCCAAGAGATACTGATAGGCACATCCAATTTAAGGTTCACCTGAATGTCCATGTTGTTGCATCAAGTCAGCTCACAATTTATCCCATCTTTACAATTTATATAACTTTTCAACTGCCCTTGCTATAAATCTGAGTGTACCCCCTTCTCCAATCATGTGACTCAGAAACCTGAAGTACAAATTACTATGTCAAAAATACACAATGTCTTAACTTTTCTGGGATAACAATATGGACAGTTTAAATGTCAACTTAATATTTAAACTTAGGCTGTTCTAACTTTGCTGCTTTGCTTAATTCTAGAAATACCATTCATACATGTCTTGTGTGAACAGTACCTCCTGAAATTGCAAGGCACAGCACAGGCAGTCATATACAGCAACCCTACACCTTACCTAACATTGGATTCTCCATGATTACCTTAGAAAACTCAGCATATTTTCAAAAGCCACAAACTTACTATCTAAATAGTGTGAACAGCAGAAACTAAATTATAGATCCAGGTAATTTACTTTGAGGTTTTAGTTAGTATACAATTCAGAATAGACAAGAAACAAACCAATGGTGTTTTAGTTTTAAACACTGGTCAAGGTAGTCAAAGAGATTTGGAAAATATGAACAAAGCACACCTAACTTATAAGCCAAACAGGGAGAGTGCCCATGAAAACATTTCTCATGCTACCTTGCTACCTCTACAATAGTATCTATTTTCAAAGATAATTTTTTCACCAACTTCTTCTACCTGGTTAACAGATTAGTACAGAACATAAGAATGCTTGATCAAACAATTTTATAGGTATTAAAAGCTTTAAAATTATTAAATGCAAAACTGAAATATACCTAGAATCAGCCTCAGAACTTCAAAGTCTGCTTCACTCATGTATTCAATTGATGAGCTTCAATTAAATCCCTTTTCCATTAGTTTTAGGAAAAGAACTACCATAGGAATTCAATAGATATTAAAACAGAAGCATTTCTAATGACTGTAAAACTCTAACATAACATATGAATGTGTTTTTTATTATAAATTGTAAAGCTTTAAAACCAATCATTCTTGTTATTGAGTCTATATAAATTTGGTTAGCTATTGGTTTAATTAACCAATATTTTCTCTTCAAATATTCTTTGTATATTAGCAATATGTTGTCTTCATGTGTAAGAACAAAACAACAACAAAAAAACTTTAAGAAAAATAGAAGGAAAAACAGTCACCCATAAAACCAAAATTTCCCCCTTTAATGTAGTAATAAGTAATGCTGTTGTGATCTATTAAGTGCCATGTAATTTACAGAAATTCCTAATCATAAGACTCTTTAATAATAAGAACCCACTAATTACTAACAATTCAAACCTCATCTTTCTCCCACGATGAGTTCTTAATACTGTCTTTGTAGTGCACAGTATCTGATGTGATAATATGGAGAAAACAGGATGTCAAACTTGTAATAAATAAGATCCTTACACCAGCGAGAGCTTAACAAGCAAATTTCTAGCAAACTTTTAGGAAGTAAGGGGGAAACTTTGGGGGAAAAAACAAACATTCTTTTCAATGAGAGTGACAACTTAGAATAGAAAAATATGCAAGAAGGTATAACTAGCTTATCATGCATTGAATGAGGAAAAGCATATAAAACTACTGTTTTAGAAGAAACAGTTATTAGAGAACTTTAACGAACGATAAGACATGTGATTTCAGACACCATAAGCTTAAGTGTAATGGCTATATAATAAAGCAAGGTGCTTATTCCTGAGGATAATGTACTTGGTAATAATGCTGAGCAATGAGTATTAAATCTAAGCAGTGCTAAAAAAGCAATGATGAAAGTTCAGGTAATATGTTACAGAGAAAGAGACATTAGAAATTCCATTATTTAAAAATAATCTTGTCCCTATCATTAACCATTTAAATTTTTTTTAACTAATGTGCTAAAGTGCACTGAAAACCTCAGAACAGGTTTTCTTAAATTGGCCATGTCTTGTTAATACACTGCAGTCTTCAAATTTACACAGAGCTGCAGGTCTCTTGGATTTTTTCAAGTGTCACTCATTTAACTGAGCCTGAAAGCTGAGAAATGCCATCAGGTGCTCTACAGTCAGTTTAAAAAACATCCTCTACCTGGTATCTCTGCAGTGATTGTCTTGCTGCTCCCTGAAACCTCTTCATCATCATCTGATGAGCTCGTGCTTGAGTCACAAGTCAGGTCACTATCACTGGTACTACTGTCCTGCAACAGGTTATATTTCTTACGCGCAGCAGCCTCCCGTTTCTGCCTCAGTAGCCTGATTCTCTCTTTTTGCTTTTGGCTCCGGTGACCTTTAACCTTGGTGACTCGGCCATTCTGTTTATCACTGGATTGCCGGTTTTTCTTGGCAGCCATAGTGGACGTTTCACTTTCAGATCGGGACCGTCGAGACTTGCGCCCAACTGTGGCACCAGACACACTGGAAGGATCTCCTTCTACAGCTGTTTCTGCCTGGGAGGGTTCATTCTCTTCTGCAGAAGACAATGTATCTGAATCAGCCAAGTGACCACTAGAGGAAGGGGAAAGCATGCAGTGGTTAGAGGAGTCACTCTCATAAACTCGGCCAGTTGTCGGCTTGTCACTCTCTGTGGATGCTAACTGAGACTCAGAAGAGTCCCTTCTCAGTTCCATCAACAAGCAAGGCATTGAAGAAAGAACTGCAGAATCCACTACACCATCTTTCTGAATTTGAGATTCCAGTTCTACAGATCCATCTTCCTCTTTAGTTGTCTCTTGTTTGGATGTTTTTGGTGGGACTTCAGACTCAAGTTCTTCGACTTTTCCCACTGCCTCCTCCATCTTCATTTCACACTTTTGAATTAATCATGGAGCAGGGTCAGGGAAACTATGTCAAAGATGCAACAGGAAAGCAACCTGGGCAAAAAACACACAAAATCAACAAACAGAAATGGCAAATTATTTAATTAACACAATATGCCTACCTTTCTAAGTGGGTAGCAAAAGTTATCATCATACAAGCTTTTAAAAAATACATGCCTTAATATATTCATCAACAGTAAATTTCAAAAGACTTAGTACTATCAAACACAGCTACCAAAAATGGCACAATATTAATCCTCTGTTCCTGAATTTGCATGAACAGCAAGCAATCAAATAAGGATTTTTCAACTTTAAAACTTAATTTCATGTGTCTAAGAAAGAGATTTTCAAAATTATGATATAGTAAATATGTACATTTTGGGTTTAATATAAATGAAAAAAGTATGCTTAAAAACTGATCTAGAAAACAAGTTAAATGAAATTATTACTTTTACACTCAAATCATCAAAGGAAGGCAAAAGGGAAGTTACAGTAGAGTCAAATTCAATGTACCCTTATATTAAAAAACAACAACAAAAAACTCTTTCAACTAGGTGCATCTGGCAAATGAGCAACAAAAGTAATTATATGCATTGAACCTGTCTGCCATTCCTCCCAAAGAAGTTGCTCTAGAGGGCTTAAGATGAAAGGCCTGAATCTGCTATTTCTTCAGTACCCCTAGTTCCCACAGTACTATCATGCTGAATTTGTCTAGTGTTTAAACATGTTTTATTTAATAAACAATAGCCACTAAATACAGATCAACTACTTTGTGAACCGAGAAAACCTAATGCACTCTATTCCAAGAATGACTTAAGGCAGTGGTCGGCAAAGTCATTTGTCAACAGAGCGAAATATCAATAGTACAATGATTGAAAGTTTCTTTTGAGAGCCAAATTTCTTAAACTTAAACTTCTTCTAACGCCGCTTCTTCAAAATAGACTTGCCCAGGCCATGGTATTTTGTGGAAGAGCCACACTCAAGAGGCCAAAGAGCCGAAGTTTGCCAACCACAGACTTAAGGGATTTAAAAGAAAATACTCTACACACATTTTCCACCTTATCGGTATATGCTAACTTTAAAACCTAACATTATTCTATTCACTGTGTGTGCCTCAATTCCATTTAATCATAGAGAAACAGGACATAATCCTTAGCCACAGAGTAAGGACCTATACAGTGTAAACTTTATTAACTGACAGTTTTTAAGAGAATGCTAAAAATGTGCAAAGCAAGTAAATACCTCACTCTATAATATGTGATGTTAAAGAAGGCAATTATCATAATGTTCCATAGGTCACAGTCAAAATATTAAGCTAGATAGTATGTTAGTCAGATGCAAGGAAACATCATCAGCCCTGGCCGGGTAGTTAGTTGTTTAGAGCATCTTCCTGTTATGCCAAGGTTGCAGGGTCCATCCCTAGTCAGGACACATACAAGGATCACCCAATGAATGAATGCATAACTAAATGGAACAACAAATCAATGCGCCTTTCCCTCTTTCTCTCTCTCTTTCTCTCTCTCTTTCTCTCTCTCTCTCTCTCTCTCTCTCTCATTAATCAGTAAAAAGACATCTCCATATCTCCATCACTTGACTCCACTTACTTGACAGTTAAAATATATGGTAGGCAGCAACAAGAAAATATCTTTAAAAAATTTTTATTAATCTAACATGCCAAGCCTACTTTTTGCTTAGTATGAACACAAATTTTCTATATACTTGGGTTTTTTTGTTTTTAATGTATTTTTATTAATTTCTGAGAGGCAGGAAGAGATAGATAAACATTAATGATGAGAATCATGGATCGGTTGCCTCCTGCATGCCCTATACTGGGAATTAAGCCCACAAACTGGGCATATGCCCTGACCGGGAATTGTACCTCCTGGTTCCTAGGTCGATGCTCAACCACTGAGCCACGCCAGGTGGGCAATACCTGGGTTTTTTGTTTGTCTGTGTTTCATGGCCCTCATCTCAGCTACCGGTAAAACAGGCATTCGAAGGAAGTCTCCTAAATTAGTTCATGAAAATAAATGTTCATAGTGTCTATGAATGTTTTTATTAATTTAGAACAACCCAATGTGTAGCCTACTTCATAAGCATATTTGTATCATAGCTAATTTTTAAATTAAATGAAAATAAGCACAAATGCTATTCCCAAAACTATTACAAAAGGAATATTATGTTAGCCAATAGAAAGAATAAAAGTTAAACCAACAAACTGCCAGCGTCATAAATGAAGAATACTGGCAACACAAACAGAAAATAAAATATTTGCCCAGCCAGTATGGCTTAGCTAGTTGAGTGTCATTCCATGCACCAAGAGTTCACCAGTTTGATTCCTGGTCAGGGCTCATGCCCAGGTTGCGGGCTCATCCCCAGTAGGGGCGTACAGGGGACAGACAATCAATACTTCTCTCTCATCAATGTTTCATAGATATGAAATACACCCAAGAATGAAGAATACTGACCCTGGCCACCGCTCAAAAAGGTGCTGAAGCCAAAACTGGTTTGGCTCAGTGGTAGAGCGTTGGCCTGCGGACTGAAAGGTCCCGGGTTCGATTCTGGTCAAGGGCATGTACCTTGGTTAGGGGCACATCCCCGGTAGGGGGTGTGCAAGAGGCAGCTGGTAGATGTTTCTCTCTCATCGATGTTTCTAGCTCTCTCTCTCCCTTCCTCTCTGTAAAAAAAATCAATAAAATATATAATTAAAAAAAAAAAAAGGAGGGGCTGGGAGTTTGGGTTGGCAGGGGACGTGGCCAGCCTGAAAACAGCCCTCAGCCCCTCACCCAGGCTGGCCAGGTCCCCAGCGGGACCTTCCACCCTGAAAGAGGTGTGGCTAGCAGAAAACAGCCCTCAGCCCCTCATCCAGGCTGGCCAGGCACCCCAGTGGGACACCCTTCAGAGCAAACCAGCAGTCCCCCAGCAGTCCCCCACCCATGCACAAGGCCTCTATCTATATTAACAAAAGGGTAATATGCTAATTAGACTGGAAGACCTTCTGGACTAAGCCATAGTGGCGGGGCCAAGGTAGAGGCAGTTAGAGGCCAAGAGAGGAGGGCAGTTGTGTTTGATCAGGCCAGGATGGGTTGGCAGTTATGGGTGACCAGGCTGGTGGGGGACAGGGCCATTAGACCAGCATGGGGGCCGAGCAGGCTATCAGTGGGGGTCAGTTGGAGGTGATCAGGACAGCGGAGGGGGGGGGCGCGGTTTGGAGTGAGCAGAGCAGCAGGGGGCAGCTGGGGGCGAGCAGGCCAGTGGGGAGGAAAGGTGGGGTGAGAAGGCCAGCAGTTGGGGGTGAGTAGGCCGGCAGGGAAGGCAGTTGGGGGCAAACAGGCCGGCAGGCAAAGTGGTTAGGGGCAATCAGGCAGGCAGGCAGGTGAGTGGTTAGGTCCCAGCAGTCCTGGATTGGGAGAGGGATGTCCGACTGCTGGTTTAGGCCCAATCTCTGTAAACCGGCAATAAGATATCCTTCAAGGGGTCCCAGATTGGAGAGGGTGCAGGCAGGCCAGGCTGAGGGACATCCTCCCATCCCCCTGCACGAATTTCGGGCACTGGGCCACTAGTATTATGTAATACAAGCCTAAGCGACCGTTATGGCAAAACAACCAGACTGACCAGTCACTATGATGCACACAGACCACCAGATGGCAGATGTTCAATGCAGGAGCTGCCCCCTGGTGGTCAATGTGCTCCCACAGGGGAGCACCACTCAGTCAGCAGCTGGGTTCACAGCTGGCGAGTGCAGCAGTGATGGCAGGTGCCTCTCCCACCTCCACTGCAGTGCTAAGGAGCAGCGAGCTGACAGTAAGAAGAAACAAACAGACAGGCAGTAAGGAGTTTTTGGTCCTGGGCTGTGAAAGGGTTCAGGCTGGCCCCTCAGTGTATATCGAACACATCATTCCTTGGATAGTTATTAAAATACAGATTTGGACATTACTAATAAAAAAGAAATGACAGCTGAATATAACAGTTCATCCAGGGAAAAGCATCAAATGAACAGAGAAAATACTTTAATAGACTTTAAAATAAAATAAAAAATTTTAAAGCCAATGAGTTGCCTAATTGTATAAAATAGTAGGTAAAAATTATCTTGTTATCTTACAGGAAAAAAATATAAAGATATCCATTAAAAGCATACACAGAAGAGCCCCAGCTGGTTTAGTCCGTGGATGGAGCATTGGCCTGTGGACTGAAGGGTCCCAGGTCAAGGGCACATGCCCAGGTTGCAGGCTCCATCTTCAGTGGGGGGTGTGCAGGAGGCAGCCAATCAATGGTTCTCTTTCATTGATGTTTCTCCCTCTCCCTTCCTCTCTGAAATCAATAAAAATATTTATTTTTTTTAAAAAGCATGTACAGAAGACTTACTTCTCAGATATATTCTCAAATGTTTAATAACTTCCTATAGACTCAGAACTGTAAAAAATAAAAATAAAAAAAAGGACCATAATTAATGGGATCTTATCTAAGAGCAACCATACAGGAAACCCTCCTGAAGGTTTTGACATAGCAATGTATAAAATCATTGAGCATTCAACATAAGAAAGCCTTGCTTTTCAATTTTACCACTTTCAATTATACCCCTTGTGAGCAACAACCATCATTAACCCTTCTTTAACACCACTACCCTAACACAAACATGAATGAATAAACTAAAATTGTACTGTCCTTTCTGATGTGACAAATGCAAACTGAAGTCATTTCTGTTACAAGTGTATGTTGCTACAGGCACTTTCAGTTGAAACCACAAGCTGACACAAACACAGCCCATTAAATTAAATTGCTTCTAGGCAAGATTTTGCTCTACAGTCATGTAAAATGGTACATTCTAATTGCTAACACTCCTGTATCTGTTTATTTCATATCACCACCCTAGAACTCATAAGAAATACAAAGAGCTAATACCTCAAATACAATATATATATGAGCCAGTTAACTTATACTGATTCTCCACGTGAAATATTAAATTCATGAATTCCTACTTTGCT